CATGCCTGCTGTGCCTGCTTTGCAAGCTCATTCTGCACATTCCAATGCATTGGCTCACACGCGAAACCGCAACTTGTAAAATTACGCATTTTCATTTAAATTCGTCGTTCCACGGCTGTCATGGCATCCGCAGTTGTCCACTGGCAAATGCACCAAATGCCATAGTGGAATGCCATTATTACAATACCCGATTCACCTAGTGTGGTTTTAATGTTTAATTGTCATTCGTAAGTATGTAAGGATGATGCTTATCTATGTATGTATGTATATGTATGCATCTGTAGCTTCATAAGTGTTTTTGTATAGGTTTGTTTGTAATTAAAGCAATTGCCCTGGTGCTAGGCATGACAATGGGAAAACGATTAATCGATCGCCGATAAATCGAAAGCAAGGAACAAGATTCGTTAAGAAATTTGTAGAATAAAAATCGATTTAAATATTTCTTTTTTTTGTTTAAAATGTGAAGGGCAAAAGTTAAGCCCTTTTTGAACTTTCTTTAACTGCATTTGATTTTAAGAGTATGGGGCATGGGCTACCTTCGTGGTTAATATTAATAATATAAAGATAAAAGTGAAATTTTTTTATATATTTTTTTTACTGCCAGATTTGGCTGATTACACAGCTTTACAAAAAAAATAAATAAATTCTTCCTGTTACCAGACCATTCTTTTTATGTGTTTTCCATCACTGAATCAAAATCCGACGTCCATTCAACTGTCAACGTCAAAGTTTTTTCAATCCAGTCACCCCACTCCCGGAAAAACCAATAAAAAGCTATGAAAGTCTATGAAAAACCTTGACGTGATGGGGTTGAATGTACGTCGGATTTTGATTCAGTGATCAAAAAAAAAACATATAAAAATAATGGTCTGGTAACAGGAAAAATTTATTTTATTTTTTTTTTGTGAATGTGTTACACATCGCAACTGTTAGTTTTCCATACTTTTAGGCCCCCTTGCTTTTTATTTAGAGAATTTTGACGACGAAAATTTAGGGTAACGATTGTCGATCACGAATGCCACTATTCGGGCTCAGAACTGTCCGTACTTTATATTTTTAATATTTTTATTGAGCTTTGTACCACGATTGTTTATTAGGAAAAATGTAAAAAGCAACAAAGTCTAAGCGGTAGAAGTTATAGCACTATTTCGG